TTCCTGCTCAGACCATGGTGTTGATGGGGTCCAAGGGATGACTCCGCACATACTCAAGGGCAGCTGAAAAAAGAGAGCCAATGAATTTGTGGCATCTCAGCTCCAGGAAGTAGGAAGACAAAGCCCTAATCCGATCCATGAAACCCCAATTAGTTTGGCCTCCTGGGAAATTGAGTCTTGCACCTCTAGAGAAGCCCTGAGGTCACAGGAAAGAAGCATGTGCTCTGAGGGAAACTCTCCCTCAGACCTACAGTTCTCTAGTCCGTCTCACCAGAGGTGGCCCTCTCTATCCCTCAGTGCCAGGGCCTGGGTTTAGAGGGGAATGCAGAACTAATAATGCAGAGAGACGCTGAGGGACTTCGCAGAATGGGTAGACAGGGATCTTGGCTGAGGAGAGGAGTTGGAGGTGGAAGCGGCAGGACAGGCAGGGGTCTCACCGCTCAGCTGGGTCTCCGTATGGATCTTCCTATTGGCTATGTAGCTCACGAGGAAAGAGAGACGCCGCGGATCCCGGAGTCGGGAGGCCAAGCCATAGAGCAGGGTCCCGGTAGCCTTGTCGATGGTGCAGCCCAGAGTCTGTTGCGCCTGAGGTCAGAGGAGTCAGGAGATAAGCCCCATGCCCAGTAAGAAAGGCCCGAAAAAGACAAGGTAGGTTGGTTGGGGTCAGGACCCAGCCTGGCGCTGCGTTGGGGAACAGTCGGCAGCCCGAACCAGGGACTTGGGTTCGCACCTGGGTCGCCGCCTCGGTGAGCTGCGCGCTCAGAGCCGTGTTCTTGAGCGTCTCGCGGGCCTTGTGTTCGCTCAGGCCGAGGCCGGTGAAGAGCGACAGGGAGTCCAGAGCGGCCATTGCTGGGACGCCGGAAACCGAAAGAAAACTTTGGAGCCAATCTGCACATTGGCATTAGCTCACTGGCCAATAGGAGAGCGACGCTGTCAGGAAGAGCCAATGGTGTCCTTCCTTGGCTGGAGGGGGCGGGGCTCTCCAGGGTTGTCAGCGCCATTGAAAGGGCAGAGGGCGGCCTTTCCGGCCTTTCAAGGCGCTTCACTTCCGTCTTCGTGCTCCAGGTCACTAGAAGGGGTAGTGGCGACGGGACTTCAGGGGAAGATTTGCTGCGGACCTGGAGGGAAGGTGTTCAGCACCAAGGCAGGAGGCAAACATGGGCATGGCTCTTTGCTCTTCGACTTTTCTCCTTCAGCCCTGGAAACCTCGGGACCATCCCAATTCTGTTCTTGGGAACAAATGTGAGTCCCTATCGCGTTTCTGACGTCATAGCTTTGGAGTTGTCACGGAAACATTTGAACAAAATGAAGCCCGGGAAATTCTGTCAAGACTCGAGCACAGAGAATGTCTGAAATGGCCCATCGATGGGCCCCAAAAGTCTGGCACTTTTTGAGCACCCACCTGGCCAGGAAGGGCCTCGCTTAAGTTCTGTGATGATTTGGTTTAAACTCTCCTGTCTGGGAATTCCCTGGTTGTCCAGTGGTTAGGACTGTGCGCTCTCACTGCTGAGCGCCTGGGTTCAATCCCTGGTCAGGGAACTAAGATCCCACAAGCCACGTGGTGTGGCCAAAAAAAATCTCCTGTCATACTTACCCCCCTTACCAACACATGCATATGTCAGGAAAACCACAAGCAGATTAGACCTTGAAATCCACATGCAGGTGTTTGACAGGATATTTTATTGAAGTTGGGATAGGGTGGGACAGAAGAGGTAGAATAATCATGATGATGTTCTTGGGGGTCTCCCCAGTCTCATTGGACTTCCAGGACCTGCTGAGAATCATTAGGCTGAAACTGAACATACAACCTGTTTTCTTTATGGAACTGGAGCTGCTGGTGGTGACATGATGAGGAGATGCCCAAATTTGGGATGGGAACTCAGGCTCTTAGAGGCCTTGTCATCACTGGTACTACCGGACCTTCAAGCACTGGGCAGGATCCTGACTGTAGTCTGTATCCATAGTGTATCCTTGTTTGTTACTGTATCCTACTAATGAGCAAGTCTATTTCTGGGCCCCACATGATGACCACATGCCAGGTTCTGCCCAGTGCCACACACCGCATCAGTATGCAGAGCCGGTCCTGTGTCTTGGCTCCCCATGGCACCTTGGCCCCAGCCTGATGCCCAGTCCAGCCAAGGCCAGGAGCAGGCATTAAGCAGGAGTTGCACTGCAGTGGTGCCACAGACAAGCACTAAGAAGCAGAACCGTAGCCACGCCAGCCCTGTGCTGAGTCCACAGCTGCAGGTGTCTAGCTCACCACAAAGATGCCTAAGATGAGCAGAGTACCTGATGCCACCCAAAGACCCATTACAGCACCATGACCACCAACACTAAGTCCTGCAGGTCTAGTGATGGCCCCCTCAGTGAGGTCAGGGCCTGTACCCTCTTTCCTGGTTCCCTCACAGTGCTGACCCTGTGGCTCCATGTCACAGGATGAGGCAGTTGCCCCTACCAAGAATGCCATAAGTAGTGGCAGGCTAGCCAGTCCTCTGGAGCCCTTTGACTTGCACAGAGCAGAACCATCAAGTTGGATGGGTGCATGCCCAGGGGACTGGCCTGCTCGCATAAGCCTCTGGCACTACTTCAAGGAAAATCAAGAAAACAATTAACAAGGAGAAAAGCCTGGGAGCAGCCAGCAAGGCCCAGCTGTGGCATGGGAAAAGGCAGGGTCCAGTAGCCAGACCTACAGACAAGTCCCTGTGGCACAGGCTGATGCACAGAAGCAGCAGTGGTCACAGTGCTGAGGGCCATGGCAGCCTTGTGCAAATGCCCCAGAAGGGTAATGTGGCAGGCTCAGCAGCAGCAGGGCTATGGTCAGAGGTGGACAGAGCCCCTTGAGTAGTGCATTCAGCACATGCAGATCACCAGTGGCCAGACACTTGGGGCTGCACACAGTGAAGGCCCAGCACAATCCTGTTGCAGCCCATGCCTAGCAGCCCCTCCAGCAGTGTGCCACCACCAACACCCAGCTTGGCAATTCCACCATTACCGCAGGGCCTCACAGCCAGCAGTCCAGGCCCCTCTCCATGGCCAGCAACCCCACGTGGCCCTTGTGCTGTTGTCCCAATAGAAGAAACCAACGCTGGTCACAAGGCTAGCTTTCTCCAGGAGCTCCTTCTGCTCTCCACCACCCCTAACTCCCTAACTCCAGCCAAGGAGTACTAGCAGGGCCCACATGCTGAGCTTTTTGTAATACTGACCCCTCAGGCTTGGGGGCAGGATGGACCTGCCAGAATCCTGCCCCACCCCTGCCTGCCTT